GACCCGGTGGTGGTGGTGCAGAACGGCACCACAGGAATCCTTCGATGCTCCTTCAAGTCCAGCGAGGGGGTCACCAGCTTCACCACGGTGACCTGGAGCTTCCAGTCCAGTCAGCCCGACAACCAGTTCTCCAATGCTGCGTATGTGGTAAGCTCCTGCTGTCCCACCCGCTCTGGGGAGCTCTGCACTGCTTCCTGTACAGCACAAATGCTTTTGGGAGGTCCCACTTTCTGCTGCGCAGTTTGCCTGCAGTTTGGTCCAAAGGGATTTGGTTCTGGCAGAATGAATCATGAATCTGGAGATGAGTGCAGATTTAAAGCACATTCAGAGCTGGACTGAGGAGCTCAAGTCAGCTTTAAGAGAGGTGTGTTCCACCGGGCTGGTCCTGGTTCTGAACGCTGAAGGGTAGCAGTCTGAGTACAGAGTGATCCCTGTTCTTTGTTTACAGCGCTCCACCCGGGCTGGGCCTCCTCTCTGCTGCGCTCACTACACATAATGACACAGCCCAGGGCTCTTTCGTTTTCACAGCAGCCAGAGCAGATGCACGCACACAGCCAGCGCTGGGCCCTTCCCTAAACCTGTTTTCTCTAAACCTCCAGCTCTTCTAGTCAGACAACCTGCTCCAGCCTGGAGCCGGCGCCGGCTCCTCATTGCTCTCCCAGTAGAATCCCTGTTCAGGACTTTTACTGTTGTTGCTCTCAGGTTAACGGGTTGTCTCCCTCTGCCCACAGATTTTCTATTTCTATAATGGGAAAGGAACCTCGGACCAAGATGAGTTCAAAGACAGAGTGAAGTTCATTGGAGACATCAACAAGAGGGACGTGTCCATCCAGCTGAGCCCGGCCCAGTTCAGTGACAACGGAACCTTCTTCTGCGATGTGAAGAACCCGCCGGACGTGAAGGGCACGCAGGCCCGCACCGAGCTCAGGGTGGTTCTGAAAGGTCAGCCCAGTCCCCCGTCAGACAGACATTCCTCCTGCCTCTGCGGGACCTCCGTGACCCGGGCCGTTGTGCGCTCCCACTCAGAGGCCCGGAGGGCACCGCTCCGTTTGGGCCGCAGAATGCAGAGCACGCCGCTCTGAGCCAGCACCTCTGACAGGCCCAGAGATGTGTAGCAGGGATGTCCCGATCCAGCTTTTTTCCCTTCTGATCCGATACCGACTCGGGCCTATCAGAGCCTGTACTAAAGTTATTTATCTACTTACTTAGCTGTCAGACTCATGTTGAACAGGGATTTACTCTGATAACAACTTAATGGTTAGGACACAGACCTGAGGGTTAGGAGATGCTAATGCTAATGCTCGTGTGGGATCGGACTTTTAAAAAAAATGGATCTGGAGTCTGGTTCGATGTTTTCTCCTGCTGGCTGATACACATTTCTATGCGAATATCGCCTCCGATCCAGATATGGGATGGGGACCAGCCTGGTGTCTAATGTCTAGTGTAGAGTGGAGGATGGTAGAAGGCTGTTCAGTGGATGGGGTTTGGACACGGGGGCCTGGATTACACCCAGGCTGACCTTCAGCGTCTTTATGTGCCCGGCTCTCCAGAGAGTCGGTGGCACTTCCTGGTCCCATATTGATTTCCCGTTGAATGTGGCACAGAAGTGAAGCACTGCCGTCCCATTTACAGAAATCCAGCGCTGGGGGGTCCGTTTGACAGGTTCCAGGAAAGGAGAGATGGTGTTGTTAGCTGTCAGTGAGTGTAACAGCGACTCCTCAGTTAGCTAAATGTGTAGAAAGTTCTGTTTAAGATACTTTTCTGCTTTTGGTAGTTAAACGGCCACAGAAATGAACTGCTGGATGTGATACTTTGATACTCAAGCATATCTTATCTTATGCTCTGTTTTCCACACTGTGGCATCAGAAGCTCCTAATGTTGCTTTTACAGTCACTGGGATGATGAATGAATGAATGCCATCACTTTTACAGATGAATGAGGTCTTTAATGTTGGAAGAAGTTAATGACAGAACACTTTAATTTATTTAGTTTATTTAATACATTTATTTTAGTTGCATGTAGAGCAGAGATAATGCAGCCCTTTTCCAGGAGTATGTGTTCTGCAGGAGTGTCTGTTCCGGAGAAGTGTGTGTTCCGGAGGAGTGTGTGTTCGGGAGGAGTGTGTGTTCGGGAGGAGTGCCTGTTCCGGAGGAGTGTGTGTTCTGGAGGAATGTGTGTTCTGTAAGACGTTTTGTTAATATTTTCCTAACCAGTTTTTTCTTATTGGAGAAGTACGTAAACACTCATGTCTTATGAGTTAGTTCAATGTCTCTGCAGATTCTGGACAACAGGTAGAGGTTAGCTTTTAGCCACCTAAAATCCACTGCAAATGCTCAAAGCCAGACCAAACACTCCAAACCCCCATCATACGTCCCACTGATAACCACATCCCCATGGTCCAGGAGAGCCTCTCTGTAAGCCTGGATGTGGGGCTGAGTGCTCAGGAGACTGGGCTCTTTGTCATCAGATAGCAAAGCACTGAGAGTCAGAAATGTCAACGTGCCCCCGGCTGGGGGGGCGGGGCTCTGTGCACGGACACAGAGCAGCCAGCAGGCCTCCTGGCTCTGGCTCCTCATGTGCTGCTGACCGTGTCTCAGAAGCGACACGGGGCCGGCAGAGGAGCAGCGTGTTCCACCTGGAAGGAAGTGGATGTGCTCACATGTGCCTGCTGTGTCCCTGCAGAGTCCCTCCCCCACAGCAACACCGCCATGATAGTGGGAGGAGTGTGTGGGGCTCTGTTCGTGCTGGTGCTCATCGCAGTGGCGGCCTGCCTCCTCATGAGGATGCTCCACAACCGCCACGACTACGAAGGGTAAGCCCCCCCACACACACACACCCGGCAGGGCCACACACACCCCCGCCAGCTTTCTGGGCCAAAGCCCCCCTCTACAGGGTGTGGAGCGGGGCTGGGGCATCAGGGGAGGGTTTCCGGGGATGATTCTGGGTATCACACTGCAGATTTGTTATGCTGATAAAGAGTTCCATGCATGTGGGATCAGAGGGTGGTGCTCTCCCGTAGGAAGCATAATCTGAATAACTCTGCATGGAAAAGCATAACTGTGTGTCCCCTTTGGTCAACTGCTGGGTGTTTCTGCCACCTGCCGTAGTGACTAATGATTAACCCGGCCTGGGCAGTCTGCAGTGGGGTGGCTGCTCTGCTGCATGCTCAGGTTAGCCTCAGCTCAGACGGGGGGGGGGGCAGCGCGGTGATGGACTCTGTGTGGCAGCTCCGGCTTTGCCGCTGGGTGCTCTGCTCACAGGCTCTGACTTTGGGGTTGGTGTTTGCTCTGGTGTCAGTCACTTTCCTCCATTACTCATCTCTCATAACATTCTAACATCACCGTGTTGTTGTCGTCTACTAACCAGAATGATTTCTTGTCATCACATGTCGAGTCAGCTTTCTCCTTCCACACTGCTCAACAACAACCTGCTCAGCCTATCCCAAAGTAGAGGATCAGAGAAGCCTGGTTTCCTCTAAGCATTTGCCCTTACTAATGCAGATCCACCCAAGACCAGAACTGGGTAGAGCAGCATAACAGAATTAAAATATCTCCCTCAGACTGCCGTGTTGACTTGTTGTACTTGGAGCCATCCAGCTGAGAGCCTCAGGTGTGTCTCAGTCTCTGCTGTTTGCTTCACAAGGCAGCAGAGCACGGCAGTGTGGGCGGTGCTGAGGGCTGAGCTCCACTGTGAGCCGCCCCGCTCTGTGTCCAGCTCTCTGAGGTGCACGGAAACGCAGAACTGAGCACCGTGTTCATTCTGTTTCCACCAGGCTAACACTTCCATTATCCACTTTCTTTTTTCATGGGAATGGTTTGCTCAGCAGAATCTCTGCAGGCCTTTTGCTTAAAGTGTTCAGCCAGCTTTAATGGATCGTTGAACACATGATTCTTGTGCTCATTTCTCTGGGGAATCCCCTTTCATATGCATTTATTATCACACTGGAGATGCACTGCTAGAGATGGAAAAATGATGTTTTCCCCAAACCAATAATGGCCTCCTTTGGTCGTTTTTTTCCTATCAGGCCACCAACAGAAACACAGATTTCTGGATGATTATCCAAAGGTTCTGAAGAATTTAGAAAAATCTGGAAACTGAACACTAACTTAACAGTCAGCCTTTGTGTCAGCCAAAACCCGTGTATAAGTAAGGCCCCCCCCTCCATAGTTATTCAACAACCTCTGCACCATTATGTTGTGCAGGTCAATATGAAACAGAATGACTGTGAATCCTACTCAGAAAGTCCTAGACAGGGTTCATGGGCTCTTAGCCAGTACTCCCCTCTGCTGCATGGAGGGGGGGAGCAGATGTGGCCCCCCTGTCTGAGGCCCTCCAGTGCACCTCCAATCTGCTCTCAGCTGCATTGTTTCATGTGCTCATCTCTCATGACTTTATTTTTGTCTTGTATCCAAACGTGTGTGTGTGTGTCTCCATTTGACTGTCCACTGGTTGCTCGACACCATGGCAAATGGTAACCCTAAACTAGATGCACGTCCTTGGAAAGCGTGAGCTCTCAGGCTCAGCAGCCCCGAAAGAAGGCGGAGTCCAGCCGGGAGGGCTCCAGGTGTACCAGTCCCTCGGGTCCACTGCAGGTAGGAGCTGGGGGACAAAGAAATCCACTGGCTGCCGCCCTTCCATCGGTAAAACTCCCCCCCGCTGGGGCTGACTCCTTCCACACTCACACGCCTCACAGCTTCATTACTGATCAAGGTTATTCAGGCCACTGGCATGTTTAGCAGTGTCTTCATCAGTGTGTTCATCAGTGTGCTTATCAGTTTGTTTATCAGTGTGTTTATTAGTTTGTTCATCAGTTTGTTTATTAGTGTGTTTATCAGTTTGTTTATTAGTTTGATGCAAAGCCACAGATGGACTGTCGCTCTACAGATAAAGAACTGGCCTTTTTTTTTCTACTCTCACATTCCAAGGCCCACACAAAGCAGCCACAGCATTAAAACCCTGTCCCCCCCCCCCCCCCCCCCCCCCCCCCCCCCCCCCCCCCCC